CGGGGGTGCAGCTAGCGGCTGGCTGCATGGGGGGAGCGGAGAGTCCGGAGGGTTAATACATTATTTAGGCCACAGCCGGTACACGTACACAGCCCAGCTGGCCCATTGCTTCCACCCGCTGTCCTCCATCCCTCCTCTGCCGTGCCTCTTCTCCAGTACCGACCCGGCTCATAAATCCTAGGGGCAGGAATCCTCTCCCGGTGTGCTTGGAGATCTTGCTGTGTGTGTGGCCTTTAGTTCTTACTGTAACACAAATAATTAACTAATGAGGGTGGTGAAAAGCAGGCTGTGTTGCAAAGAGGGCAATGTTATTTTTCCCCATACCTCTACAGGGCTGTGGTCTTTAGCACACCTAAAGCTTGACTCCCCCCCGCCCCCCTTATTCACTCAGGTTTTTCTTCACGAGAAAGCGAGCCAGCAGTAAGTTAGAAGGTGGCTTCCAGTGCCTGGTCCCCACTGTTTTCCCCCCCGTGGGTGCTCATCGGTACTGTTCTTGTTTTGTGCTCGATGATCAGCTTCCTGAGGGAGCAGAAAGAGGCGTTAATGTATCCGCAGAGGGAGCTGTTGCAGAGAAGTTGTGAAGCCTCCTTCCCCACAGAGACAGGCCCTACACCGTGGTTCCATAGGAAGGAAGGCAATGAATAGGATTTTGTTCGGTTTGGAGAGGGGAGAAAATCCTGAGAGGGATGTGGGATTTCTTTCTGAGGGTGCTTTAATGGTTCCCCTGGTGTAATCTTTCTCCCTGGGTATAATGATCCTCTGTGGAGGGGAGAAGGTCAGATCAATTCTCTTGCAAAGCAGCTTGCCATCATCAGGCCATCAGAGGAGCTTGAGATGCCAAAACAGAAACAAAAGCTTCTGAGTGGAGCCTTTGTTAGTTGAGGGGAGGTAAACTTGGAACAACCGACAGAAAATTCCCTGCCGACTACCTGTGGGATCTGCTTCAGTGTCCCACCAGAGCCTGGCAGCTCTTTTCATGATTTTGAGCTTTTTATGATGACTACTTTTCACTAACTTTGTGCTGCGTTTCCTGCTGGATGCTTCCATTGGAAAGCTCTGGCTGCCATGTCTTTCTTTGGAGGTATTGTAGATCTTGAGGCCGTTTGCCTCGAAAGTTGCAGGTAGAGGGTGTGGAGTGTTTTGCCGTACTGTTTGGCTCTGGGACTTCATGCTTTCTAAGCAAGACTTGCTCACACAAGCTGGGGGTGCCCCATTATGCAGTCCGGATGGAGAGTAGGCCTGAATCCAGGAGATTTTGGGACCTGAAGGAGGTCTGGTAGAGCTGAAAGGGAAGCGGACATCTGTGTAGTGTGAGAGCTCCTTGAGTCCTCATGGCTGTAGCTGGCACCGAGCTTCTGGCTTCCCTTATAAGCTGTCCCGGGCAAGTGTGGGAGCACGGCCTTGCCTGTGCTCAGGTTGAGGAGTAAAGGCAGTATCTCCCCAGAAGTGCCTGCGGTCGGTATTGTTGCTGCCTCCTGAAAGGTGGAGGGGAAGAAGCGTGGGTCTGACAGCACTGCAGCTTCTCCTCTCCCTCTGTACTGCCAGCTTGCTAGACCTTCCAATGGTTGGGGAGTGTGGGACATCCCCACTGGGGTCCTGCTGAAGTGTCACTCGGATCCGTATTGCTCTCCCACTGTCGTACGGTGTTGCTCTACGCACTCGGTGCTTCGGGCCTCGGTGTTTATTTCTTTTATTGCAATACTCTGTTAATAATGTAGTTCATGTGTGCTGGGCCAGCAAAGCCCATGCAGCCCGTCTTAACTCTCAGACCCGATCTGCATGAAAGTTGTGTGCGGCTTCAGCAGCTATTTTGCTGTATATCACATATATGTGGCCATAGCGATGTCTGCTGAGGTTACCATTGTTTTGGGTTTGCCAGACTGAACTCCTCTTGCAGGAATTGTCTAATGCATAAGGGTTTTTTTTAATTGGAGCTTACTCTTCAAGGGGCATTTAAATATTTTATGATTTTTCTGAGCCATGCAACCCCTAAGCAGAAGATTCTTGTTGGGTTCAGGACAAAGGAGTTCTAAAGGTGACTTGCAATCTGAAGAGGATATATAGGTACTGCATTTTTTAAATATAATAGATCTGGCGATTCAAATATAGGCCTTATTTTTAATGATCTTTTCAAGCTCTCTCTTGGGATATCAGACCTGGAGATTAGCTATAACCAAAGAAAAAGCTGAGGGAGAGGGGCAGCTTTCTAGCAGGACTGCAGTAATCCCATTCACCCCACTTAAACTGGGGGAGATGAAGGATTTTTTCACCACTTCAAGTGGGGCAATGAAAGGTGTCATCTTCTGCTGTATTTGCCATTATTTTTTCCTTCTTTTCAAAAGCTTCTGATTTTTGGATACTTTGATAAAAAGTAAAATTTAATCTGAAAGACACGTGTTCATCCTCTTAAATATGAAACAATTCTTGGCAAGTCACTGAGACTCTTCCAGATCACAACGCTGGCAAATATGATCTAAAAATAGTAGCAATGCACGCAAAATTACACAGGACAAACATACATGTGCAAGTTTCCATTGCAGCTGTTCCCTCCCGGGCCGGCTGGTTAGGAAGGGATACGGAAAGCTTTGACTGGATGGAGAGAGGACCAGAAGACAAAGTGCAAAGAGATTTTTGCCTCAGGAAAGCAAAATTTGATGTCCAACTCAAGAGTGTTTCACTTCTGCCCATTTGCTCCACTTTCGTCGCTGTGTAAAGTGTCAGAAATCCCACCAGCAATTCCCAGTACCTGTTTATCTGGAAAGTGAGTATGGAAGACAGCGTCAGACCAGGAATCCTGCACTGAAGCCCCCTCCTGAAGAACACAAAACCTGGTGGTCTGCTCTTTCATCTTGTTTAAGTATTTGTAAGCACACCGGTTGGGGTGTTGTAACATCATCAGAATAGATATGGGAGTGTTTTGTCACCTGAAATACTAGTTTTACTTCTTTGTGCTGCAAAACGATACACAATTAGCTTATAAGAGGTAGATGTTTGAGAATAGCTAATGCCCTGTCGTGCTCTGCATAATGCATTTGGTGAAAGAACAATAAATGTGTGGATTTAAACAGAATATAGACAGCTAATTATCCCTGAGGTTAAATGTTCAGTTCATTCCTGAGGAAATACTGGAAAAAAAAACAAAACAAAACCAAACCCCAAGAGCGATATTAAGAAACTATTTTTTAAAATCCTAAAATGGTTCTTTGTATTGTACAATTTTATGATCCGTCATCCAGTACCATGAAAGGACTTGTCCAGGATAGAAAAAGAAGCTGCTTTGTGCAGGCAGGGATTTGGCTGTGGGAGCTGGCGTAAGACCTTCCCAGACCTGTGCTCGGAGAGGCGAGGAGGCCACGCTCCTCCTTCCCCGCGTGCTCTGACCGAGCCATTGTTTGGTGGAGGGAGCTTCTGAAAACCCGATTGTCTCGATTTGAGAGGGTGGGGAAAAAAGGGAAAAAAAACCCCAAACCCAAGTTACAGTCGGGCTTGCGCCGCGCTTGCTGCTGAACGGTGCGCTTCCTTCTTTTCAGATGCGGGGTAATAAAGCTGTCTGGCTTTGATTAAAGTGTTGGCCTGATGTGTTTCGTGGTCTGTTTCAGGGCAAAAAATGTAGTTCTTCGAACAGAAACGACTGAGGCATCTGTTGAACATGAGGGATGAACAGGCTTATTT